TAGATAGCCAGTGTCTAAGAATTTTTACAGAACGAGATGACAAGCTCTTGAAACACTGATACTAGTTCTCAGTAAATGCTGAGGCTGAAGAAGACTGCAAAGAAAATATAACACACTAACATAATTTAAAACAAGAAAGCAGGGTGACACCAATAGGTTAGCTTGATATAGTCTTGCAGAAAATCATGGTACACAATCAACAAAGAAATAAAGGATGGTGGTAAAAAGTAATGCTACACATAGGCTTACAGAAAATAGGTCTTGCTAAATAAATTTGGTATGGCTTTCTGACAAGAATATAGGTTGGACTGGATAAAAATACCTTGTAGTTTCTGACCTACTATACTTAGATCTCTGTAAGATTTAGTGCCGCACAACAGACTGATTTAGAAGTTATTCAACACGAAGAAAACCTGGAATCTAAAACCACCTCATAAATTATTAGGGAGGCTTAGGAAAAATATTTTAGATCCACCTCATCAATAGTTTAAGCTGTTTTCTTAGCTCTAAAAATCATAGCTCATTATAGCCTGAAATACTATAAAAAGCTGCTTCTCCTTTAACTTTTTCTGCAGTTGGAAAAAAAATATATATACGCACAGTTAAAGAAAAGGGGAGGAGGTATAAAGTCACTTGAAACTTTGCCTTTCATAGATTTTTTTTTCCAGGAAAGAAAGCTTCAACATTAACAGATTTCCTCAATAAAAAAAAAAAATCTGGTGTACTTGAAAGCGTACTTGAAAGCCATTTTCAGCAAAGAAAGGATACTGATGTAAAATCTGAGCCAGGTCCACACACGTGTAACATCCTGCAGTACTAAACCTACCTAGCTTATACTTCTTGTATCCAGAGTCACCTGGAAACGTTACAGAGGATCATTTAACACTTCTGACACAGATGGGTGTGCAACAAATTATTATGTATAAGCCGCTTCAGGGTCTTACCAGATGGCACACATAAAGGAATTCAAGGAAAGCAGGAAAACTACACCACATTTAGCTTGGTTGAAAGCTTGCACACACAGGTACTTATTCCAAAAGAGCTGGCACGGAGTAAGGTGCTATACCCTGTGCAAGACATTTTTTCCCATCGCATGAATCTCCAATACTGATGCTGTAAGGAAGGTCCAATGCTACTCAGTATTTCTGCCAGTCAGTTGAAGGATTACATAAAAGGCTGTAGCTGAATCTGCACAGAATACACGAACTGGTGAAGGACAAATAAATAAGAGTAGGTCAACCCTGCTCCAGAGAGCTACATCATACATGAGACCGAATTAATGGAAAAAACATGCTTGTATACAGCCCAGTGCAACACACACTCCGCACATGTGAAACAAGGGTTGTTTCATACTTACAAGATGAGGAACTCTACCGGGAAATGGAGCAAATCGAAAGACGACTCCAAAGACACAGTGAATACTCAAGTGCATATAGAAACCCAGCAAACTGGAACTGGCTTCCTGGGCAAAAACATCTCGTACATGTTTAAAATGCCAAAAGAGAACAAACTATTACATCAATACGTAGCCCTAGTGAGATTCTCGATGATGTATTTACCAAGTTCCACTTCCCATTCTAAAAGAGAAAAGTTAATGAACATTGATCATGCCTGCAAGCCCTATCTTAAAAAGAAAAATAATGGCTTTGTTCCCTAGATTGTTCCTACAAGCCTAAGACCCAGAACAGAGAATTTGTAAGAATGTTGTAATTAGTAACATATACGAAGACAAGAACGGCACAAAAGCCATTAAATATTGTTAACTCATCACATGGACTGCTGTATTCTAAATTAATTACTCAAGGACTATCTATTTGACATTGTGGAGAGTTTAATAAGACTGTCTGACCAACACTGGAATGATGGATGAAGTGAGAAAAGCTTACATTGGATTAAATGATATAAAATAACATAAAAGTGTTCTAAGATGATTAAATAAATAATTGTGGATTTTCACCTACAATAGTCTTCAGATCAACTTCTCTCTGTGGTAGACACAGAAAGGGCTCAGAAAATGGAAGGAGCTCAGAGAAGGGCAAGAAAAATATTACGTCTTGGGAAGACTGGATGCTTCAAGATGCTGAAGACCTCAAAGAGGTAATCAGTGGGTAAAGGGGGAAAGGCAGCAACGAACCGCACCGCGTAAAATTCGTGTAGAGAAGTTCAGCTAGGTCGTCTTCTCACCCTGTGCCAAAACACTAGGGCTATATCATAGCGACCAAAGCCTTAGGAAAACCGGAGGTTTTTGTCAAACCAACTACATTAAACGGGAACAAATTCAGAGTTCAGAAAAGTGAGGTTTTTTTAATGGCGCATACACAGCTCTTTAATTAATGGCCTGTTCTTTGGCCCAGACTTTGTATAACTGAATAGAGAGTTACGTTTTCACGTAAAATTATATCAATCACACATCACATAATAATACATAAAAATTTTAAGAATAGAAATCACCTATCCCTGGTTTCTACGTTGGAAACTCTTTATTCTCAAGAGTTCAGGCGGAGTTTTAACCACCACTCCTTGTAATGGTTCCCCAGTAGCACCTTCCAAAGAATCCGACCAGTTGCCTATTGAAGACAAAGTACTGGCCTGAAAGAATCTACAAATCCGTAAATAGCTGTTAAATGCCGCTATGCACAACAACAAAAAAAGCCTCATAATCACTCCCAGGTCTAAAACTAGCAAAGCACAGATCGCGGCACGCACCTACTTTGTTCTTTTTTTACCCCGATTTCCTCCAGAACCCTAAAACCGTCAACGCAAAGGCTTCAGCAGAACAAGCTACCAAAGCGCCCAGACCAAACCGCAGAGGGAATACGAGGGCGTCCGGCTCCGGACACGTCTCACGCACCACGACGCGCACTACAGGAACATCGCCAGCTTTAGCACTGCCCAAGCGTCAAAGTCTGCGGACCAAAAGCCTAAAGCTCAGCACCGGGTATGGGAACACCGTAACGGCTCTCTCCTCCAGGCCCTGATAGCCTTTTTTCCAGTGCCGCCTCAATTTTTCAGGGTAGGAAGAAACAACTTTTGTTCCCATCTGCTTGTGACAGCCCAGCTCCCCAGGAAACGTATCAGAACAACTCTTCTGCACGCCCCAGGCCCTGCCGCTTGTCTTCTCGGTGTTGAGCAGGGATGAGCCCAGATCGGA